TTTGTATAATAATAATGAAAAAAGTAAGAATAATTTTAAGGTGATATGAGTATTTATAATAGTAAACAAGACTATTGTATTGGGGCGGAATGAATACTTTTTTTTTTTTTTTTTTTACAAAATATTATAGCAGTATATAATATTTATTCGAACAAAATTAAACTACGGCTCCATTTATACACATTTTTATATTAAAAAAAAGAAGAAGAAAAAAGTTTGATACTATTATCAGCGCTAATTTCTTTAAAAATACATCATATCATAAAGTATATATTTTTTCTAAAAAAATATCATATCAAATACTAGTTATGTCCACAAATTCTATGTTTATTTAAGCTAAATATGAGTTTTAATAATACATTACTTCCTTCCTCCCATATATTTTATTCCCTCTACTGTAGACACGAAAATTTAGGAGATGTATAATTAATAAATAATTAAAAATATATTAGTGAAAATAATTATCGTATAATAAAAATAATTATAAATTAAGATTAAAATAACTTATTAGTATAATTAAAAATTATAAATTATAAATTAAATTTTTTAAAATAAGATTAAAATGTATAATTTTTTTCCAAAAAAAAAAGTGACAAAATAAGTTGGACGGACGAAAATGAAAATGTGGGCATGAGATAATATTATATTAATTGATTATGATATAAATTATGAGTATTTTGTAAAGCATACAAATTGAGTTAATAAAAAGAAAGATAATTCTTGATAAATTAAATGTGTTGATAGTTATGTGTTATGGCATTTTTTTTTCTAAAAATAAGCTTAATATTGAATGTATAAATTAAATAATATAATAATTATGTCGTATATATATAAAAAAAATATATTTTTGTGAAAAAAAAGTAAAATTAATGGAAGAGAGGGTATTAAACTTTTTAATATTATATTTTTTAAAATTTTCAAAATTTCAAAAACATCTATCCTAAACAAAAAATGCTAAATCCAAAACAACACACCCTATAAGTATAAAAGGACGTAGAAAGAGAGGGTTTGTTTGTTTTGTTTTGGATTTTTATTTTAAATGTCTGGTATAAAGAATTATGTCGATAATATAAAAAATAATAATTTATTTTAAATATTAATTTTTATAAAAGAACAAAGGGATGACATTAATGGAGGAAGGTCCGATCCACAGGGATTTTTATCAATACCTAAAAATTTGGCATCTCCTCTATAATGATCGGAGTAACACTTTATTTATTAAATACCTGAATATTGCATTGTATGCCATGCATATATTATTGAGTCATCCATGATTCAAGATTATATAATATGTAATCAATTAATGATATATATATATATTTATTAACAAATATTTCCTCGATCCCATAACTAGATATTTATTTGCTTTTTGTACGTAATTTTAAAAATATTAATATTATATTAAGATGTAGTAGGAAGAAAGTAGAAATGACTAAAATAACCTTATTAGTATGTTTGATATAAAGGTAATGACATTTGTGTAATATATTGTAAGTTGTAACGGTACTTTGTAATGTTACGTAGATAGTACAATTACTAGAAAAAAAAAATTGATACTTTGTTATAAGACGGACTGAAATGAAAAAAAATGATACTTTGTTATGGGACGGAGAGAGTATAAAATTTTAGGTGAAATAATAATTTAAGAATCTCAATTGCACAGATAAATTAATTAATCAACAAATCCACATAATCACGATTAATTTATCATATAATTTGTATATAGTCATACTATAACTATCTCTTAGGGCTAATTATTGGTGTTCGTCCATGACCCAATATAAATAGAGAGTTAATTATATATTTATGTTATATATTTCATCTGTCGGTCATATTAAATAGAGCTGACAATTGATTGTATTGGGTTGCATTTGGATTTTCTAACGAGTCAAACTGTCTGATTTGAACCCGATTCATTTAAATTTTTTCAATATGAAAATAATTCGTTAACCTGTTTAATATTTTTAAACGAATTGGATCAATTCGTTTATCCATTAAAAATATTCTAAAATTAAATTTTTACAAATCAAATTATAATCGAATAATTAATCCAAAATAAAAAACTAAAAGTCATTAAATCAATAAAAAATAACAGTAGTACATAGATACACAATAAATATTACAAACTATTAAATAATATATTTAGATTGTGTTGAATTTAAATTAATAATTTTAAATAATATATTACTCATATAACAAATATTATTCATATATTATAAACAGTTTGTCATGTCGGATTCGTGTCGATCCGTATACATAATCGGGTTGAAATTTTTAAACTAAATTTAATTATTTCGTGTCATGTTCGTATCGGATTGTTGCATCGTATTATTTTTTTTGATACCTCTAATATTAAGAGTCCACTGGACTCGACACGGAGATTAAAAAAAAATATTATTGAAAATATGAAAAAAAAAATTTTAAAAAATGAGTGTTTTTTTTAAGTTTTAGTTAGTAATTAAAAAATTATAAATATAGAGAATGTAATCAAATTGGTGAAATTTATTATAAATAAGTATTGGATGAACAGTAGTAATAATTAAATTACTTTTTAGAAGGTAAACGGGTTAAACTCAATGCTAGTATGATATTGTCCGCTTTGGGCTGAGTCCACACGGATTTGTTTTTGGATATTCTCCAAAATACTTCATACTAGTGGAATTCACTTAAAACTTATAAGGTGAGTAATTTTCTTCACAACTTCCAATATGGGACTTTGGTTTTAACCCCAATAATCCTCCCGTCATGGGTTTGTACCCCAACAGTAATATTTGTTATATAGAGAATGTACACATGCAATTATTTTACATAGTGAAATTTGTTATTCAAAGAATATACCGACTCAATTATTTATATATATAAAGTCAAATAATGAAAATATCAAATTTTTTTACATAGTTTCACTAACTAATAAAATATTACTACTATTATTTTTAAATTTACTACAAACTCCAGAGGGGCACGTTTGAGTGGGACGGGGAGAATATTTTTTTTTACTGTAACAAAATATGATATCAAATATTAACTTTTACTTCTAAAAAAAATTATAAATCTTCATAACTTCTGTCTAAACAAAGGATTTGTTCATTTTGTATTTTTTAATAGATGTATTTTTTATATTGTATTGATAATATTAAAAATAAATAATATTTTATATTGAATTATTGACATTTTGTGTTAATGTCTATATATTATATTAAAAATATATATAATATTTATGTTGAATCGTTATATTAAAAAATATATATATAAAAAAAAAATGAAGTAAACAAATCCACCCATGATTATAGGTTATTTTACACTCAAATGTTTAAGGGTTAATTTTTCATAATTAGAAATAATTGGGCTAAATATATTTATTTGTATGGATGTGTGGACACGGGCGTGTTAATATATAGTGGTCTTCTCTTTAATACTCCATCTCTCCCACATAATTTGTCTCTATTTTCTATTTTTGTCCGTCCTATATAACTTGTCGTTTCTATTTTTGGAAATATAATTATGCACTTTAATTGCATTTTAAATTTTATAATTTTATAATTTTAATTAAACTATTTACTTATTTTAATCTTAATCTATAATTATTTTTACTAATACACTTCTTAATTACTTACTAATTATATTTTACCTAAATTTTCGTGTCTATAGTAATACACCCATATTACATGGGACGGAGGGAGTATTATTCTTCACTTAGTAAATAAATAATTAGTATAATTAGGTGCATCCCATCCATACCAATATATATCGGCTTGTTGCATTAATTTGAACCCTAATTAATATAATTTAAATCGGTCCATATATCTATCTATATATTCTTGTTAATTATTAAAGTGAGGCCTAACGTAGGGTATTTAATTTAATTATTGAAAGAATTCTTTTTTAAAAAAAAATAAATTAATTAATTAAACATGTGGAAGGATCATAATCCACACCTAATTAATCAAACTGCCCTTTCAATCACGATCAAATAAATTACATTATATATCTTAATAAAAACCCTAATATGTGTTATACAAAGAATTTTGATCATTATAATAAACTTTAAACCCTTAAACCCTAAAATAATTTCTTAATAAATATGATAATTATAATATATGAAAAGGGATTTGTAAATCTATAAATAAATAAATAAATATATTAAATAAAGAGGTTTGGTCGATTGAAGTTGATACACTGCTATTCTTTAATGTATTTCCTACCAAACAATTTAATCAATTGGATTTTGATATTACTACGTATCTCAAAGTACATTACACACTACACAGGAAACCGAATAAATTTTGTAATAAATATAAGGCATGCATATAATAGCAACAATAAAAATTAAAAATAAAATCTTGATCAAATTCTTCTTTTTTTAAATAAATTAGTACTTTAAAAATATAAACCCTAGAACCCTTTAGAAAACCTATACAATTTAAAAATGTCTTGTTATTTTCGACAAATGGTACACCCAACTTTTGTTTTCCATTCCTCATTTCACAAATAAATAGCAATTGAAGTGAAAGTACACAAATTTCACGATATATATATATATATATATAAATAAATATATCTAAATATGTGTATATAAAATTAATCAAAACATGGCATAATAATAAAGCTGGATAACAAAACAGCTTTATACAAATCGAAGGTCAACTCAAGCTTGAAAGTTGAAACACTCCCCAAAAGCAGAAACTCATCAAAAGCATGAAAAGTATAATAGCTTTTCATTACATATAAAATTATATATAAATAATACATTCATCAACCACGAAATCAGATTTAAGGAAATCAAAAATCTCTACACTGAATCAAATCTATACAGAAACTTGCTGCTGCTACTGCTCCATCTCCACCAGACACAAGGGCCCTCCACCCCACCCCACCCCACCCCCAAGAAGAACAACCAACCATTTCCCCATGCAAGACATAGCAGAAAGAAGTAGAATGTAAAATTATATAATTTCATGAAGAAGAAGATGATATTTGATATTCTTGGATCAGATTTAATCATAGGAACTTTACTACATTAAACATGGAACGATCTGCCACTCAAATACAAAAATACAAACTTAGTTCGAAGAATTAAGAAAATCATAAAAACCCCAATTCCAAGCCAATAATAATAACAACAAGACCATCAACAATCTGAATATCAAAGGCTTAGGCATTCTGGAGCTTTGCTGAAAAGAGGCTTAGGGCTTCTTGATAATGAAATATATCTCCCAATACTCCATTCGTCGCCGGAATATCCGCGGCCGGAAAATCCGTGCAGCAACCGGCGGGAGAGTTTGACGACTCGAAACCCCCAGAAGAAGACAAACCCTGAAATTGAGGAGTCGATTTCGGGTAATCAATGGTGAAGCCTAGAAATTCATTCTCGAAAGCTTTCTGGTTCTTCGTCGTGTTCTCTTCCTTGACGTAAGTCGTCGCCGGTTCAAACGATGCCGCTATTTCCGGTCGAGGTTTATCAGGATTTGAGGCGGCGGTTTTAGGGTTTGGGAAGAATCCGTGCAAGACTTCTTGCAGGAGACCTGAATCGGACCTTTCGGTAGGGAAGAAGTCCATCGGATCAGACTGGTCGTAGCTTCCGACGGAGCTATCGAAGCCGTCGGATTTTGCTGAAACCGCCGGAGATTCCTTGAAGGAGGAGCTGTCGGAAACTATGGTAGCGCTGACGGTCGAGATTTGGGATGTTGTGTTGCAGGAGAGGTTGGGCAAATACGCAGAGCCATTGAAATCATTTGGGAACGACGAGAAGGAGCAGTTGAGAAAACTTGCCGGAATTGGGTCGTGTAAGGGGAAGTTGAAGAACCCGTCGGAGTATTTCGAACTGGAGGAAGCGAGATAGTCGCGGAGGAGATGGATATTCATCGAATTGGCAGAGTTTCTAATGGAGGATCGATTGGGATCGAAATTAGGGTTTTGGAAGGAAGACGATGACCCAAAATGGCGAGATCCGAGAATGGACGGCTGAGATGGTTTCCCGTAAGTAAACGGAGGGATGAGATTCTCCGCCGCGGGTTGCGCCGGAGACGACGGGTACACGAAATTGGTGCGAGCTTTGACGCCGCGCATGGCCCGGGCGGCGCAGTCGTAGGCGCAGGCGGCCTCCTCCGCCGTGTCGAAGGTTCCCAGCCACCGCCGCTCCTTCGACTGGGGATCTCTGATCTCCGCCGCGTAGCGGCCCCAGGGACGGCGGCGGACGCCGCGGTACCTCATGGAGCCGCCGGAGGAGGCGGCGGCGCCGTCCTTGAGTGATCTTTTGTTGGTGGCGCAACGCTTGGGGACGGCGGTGGGTTGCAGTAGAGGTTCTGAATCCGCCGTCAGATTTCCGTTGAGCCTCCTCAGAGCCTCCTCCATTTTCGACGATTTAAAGTAATTAAAATATATATATATGTATGTATGTATGTATGTATGGTGTTTTGTAAGAACTCTGACAGAGCTCAGATTGGGGAGAAATTGCAGAGAAGAAATGGATAGAATGAAGGTTGGGGAAGGAGATGAAGATGAAGCGTGGGGGTGGATAGGTATTTATAATGGAATTTACAGTCTCTCTCTCTCTCTCTGCAAGTCGGGGAGGAGAGAGACCCTTCATTTATTACAGAATTTAATTATTGCACAAGTCTACGTATTTATAATTTCATGTAAATAAAATATTAATTAATTAAGATATGACTCAAGAAAGCAAATTCCGGATATATGGGTTAGGTGTTTATGATTTTTGAATAAATTCATATATTCTCATTTTGAAAATTAGGTGAATTTTTATTAACTAAATATTATTAAGATTTATTGTGTATTATTGTGTGTGTTTGTGTTTTTTTTTTTTTGTTTAAAAAAAAAATTAGGATAGATTTGATAATGAAGATAATAATTTTAGAAAGAAAAAAATATATATTATATAGTATGAAAATCATATAGAAAATAGAAACACCATAATAATAAATTAAATTAAATTCTTTTAATTAGATATATAATTTAGTAATAAATGGTGTTGATTAAATTCAGTTTGATAGAGAACTGTATAATGATAGAATTTAGGTCTTGTGCCAAATGTATATATTTATATATTGGAATATAAGCTGTTAGTACATAATATATATATATATATATACAAGTTCCATTTAAATGTTAATGGAGTCAAATTAATACCGTATTTATTTGATCAAATCAGTAAATATTTATAAATAAAATAGAAAATATTAATATAATATATAATATATGGTTTAATAGTACATTATATAATATTATATAACAAATACATATTATAATTGCAGTAAAATATATTCTGATTTCAAATATTACTATAATATATAACACAACAATATAGGGTATATGTCGTGGGATAAAATACTAATTATTTTAAATTAATATGCTATTTTGTAATATGATATGTACTTTATAATAAATTGTTAATTATTTCATATTGATTTGGTAAGGGCATCTCCAACCCAGTATATTTAATGGCACTGGGTTGGCATCTCCAACCCACGCCAAATCCAACGCAAAAAATTGGCGTTGCTACAGTGTAACGTCAATTTTGGTGTTGCACTGTTGGCTTGCTATATATACATATATATTTTTTAATTTTTTTAATTTTTAAAATTATATATTTGTTTTTTAAATTTAATTTTTATTTTTTAAAATTTTATTTTAAATTGTAAAAATAAAAAGTTGTTTAAAATAATAAGAAAAATTGAATATTTGAAGATTAATAGTAAAATATAGAGTTATGGTTATAGTAAAATTACCGTAACAACTGCACATTTGGAGTTAAAACTGAATAAATAAAATTGATGGGTTAGAGATGGCCTAAGTCACCACCTTACCACCTTAACGGCATTTATATATATACATATGTGAAAAATAAACTACCTAGATATTGTAAAAGAATTTGGCAGGAATAAATACTCCCTCCGTTCCACCTATCATGTCTATATTGTTGTTTATGTATGTCCCACATGTTATGTCACTTTTCTTTTTTGTCAAATGATTATACACTTTAATCTTATTTTATATTTTCTAATTTATTTTTTAAATTTTAATTAAACTAATTAGTTATCTTAATCTTAATCTATAATTATTTATATTATAAGATAATTATTTTCACTAATATATTTTTAATTATTTACTAATTATACTTATCCAAAATTCGATTTGTATAGTTACCCAGACATCAGCGTGGGCCGGAGGGAGTATATAAAAGTAATCTACGTACACATGTCTACATCGGAAGTATATTTATTTTTTTATGGATGCATCAAGAAGAGTATCTTTTTGTCCATCTTGTAAAAATAAAACTTGTAAAAATAAAATAAAATCTATAGACTGTAGCTATATATATATAGTTCTAGAACACTTTATTAAATTAAATTGTTTTAATATGCAAGTTGATGATAATTAGATTTAAGGGAACTAAATTAGTCCACACTCTATTTTTATTTTATTTATTTATTTTAATATTGATATTAGAGTATTAAATTCAAATGAAAGCAGATATGGTAATTAATTTGAGTTGCATCATATCTAAATTCAAATTTAATTATATATATATATATTATTCTAGTAATTTTGTTATCTTATGGGAATGATAAATATTAGTAAATGTGCATTGACTAATAGATAATTATCAGAAATAATCAATACAGCATGCATGTCAAAAGGGTTGACTTAACTAATCATTCCTTTTCTCATAATCAAATCTTTATACATACGAGGCCAATAATAATAATAATATTCAATCTGTCCCGAAACTAAATATCATTTGTTTTTTTTCACGTAATTTTAGAAATATTAGTATTATATTGGGATATAGTAGAAATAAAGTAGAAATGACTAAAATAACTTTATTAGTATGTGTGATATAAAGGTAATGACATTTGTGTAATATATTGTAAGTTGTAAAGGTATTTGTAATATTATGTAGATGATACAGTTACTAAAAAAGAAAATGGATATTTTGTTATGGGACGGACTAAAATGGAAAAATAGATAATTTGTTATAGGAGGGAGGGATTAATAATAATAATAATAATATTAAAGGTTTATATAATTACTTTGATTTAATGTATTAATAACTATATATTGCATTTAATATTTCATAAGTTAAAATATCAAATTGAATCATGTAAAAATGAGTTTTGAAATACAAGAAAATAAACCCTAAATTTAGGTTTGTTTAAATACACGTTTTTTGAATTATGAAAATTTAAAAATGTTTTCTTTTAAAATAATACTTCCTCCATTTCCATTTTGTACGTCCCACAAAAGATGACCTATTTTTATTTTTGGTAATTTTATTAATTTTAAACACAATTAATAAATATAAATCAATATAATTAAACTTATAACATCTTACAAGTTGGACTACTCAAAACTCATTTATTTATATCTCTCCTCAATTAACATAATTCTTTATCTATCTTTAAAACTCCTTATTTTTTTATGAAACTAATTTACGGTAATAATAAATAAATAAAAATATGATCTACAAAATGATGTTCATATTGCATATATTTCTTCGAAATATAATTCTAAAATTTTTTAAAATACCAATAATATTACTCAAATAAAAAATAATAAACTAATATCATAATTTATTAATAATAATAACTTTTTAATCTACCCTATCTAAAAATATATATGCGAACAAAATCTTTTAATTAGTAACTCAGTTTTGTCTCATAAATTTCATTTTCGCCATTCCAAAAGTCAAAAAAAATTTGTGAGCGTCATTTTTTGTAAATTAAAGTTGCAAAATTTATTATTATTTTATTTTTCTTAAGGCAAATTTTGAATTTATTTTAATTTTATTAAAATAATAATAATAATAATAATAATAATAATTATTATTATTATTATTATTATTATATGTATTTATTTCATTCTCTTGTGTTCTGAGCCATCACCAGCACACACCAACTAATCTCAAAATCATCAGCACCAATCTCCTAATTAATTAATAAAAAATATATATATATATATGCATAATATGTTATATATTTTTATTTATTTGTTGTTTTCAAAAAGGATTAAATTTGATCAATTATTGGTGGTATAAATTAATACCTCGATATAATAATTTGTGTTACTTCATCCAGCCCAGAAAATTTTGTTGACAGCCAAAAAGTAACCGGACATTATAATTACAATAGACGATTTCCAAGAAAATTAGGGTTTACGTATTTAACACAGAATTTATAGTGCTGTCTGAACATTCCTTTTCTTTACAAAATTAAAATTAAAATAATAATAATAATAATAATAATAATAATAATAATAATAATAATAATAATATCACATACAGTTTTATTTGAAAATTAAATCAATTATCACTTGGGACATTGCAATTTCACGTTTAATGTGTTTCTATTTTAATTATTGGGTTCCATTTGAAATTTTTATTTTTATTTTTTATTTTTTTTAGTGGAAATTGTAAGATTGTATGGTAAAAAAGATTAAAAATAAAATTAAAGAGAACAAAGTCTTTATTCTATGAAAAAAAAAAAAAAAAATCCATTTTTAAGAAGAAAATGATTAAAAACTTAATCATTACAGTCTTTCAATATTGTTAATAGATTTTGTTAGGTATATTTATATTTTGTTTGTGAATTGTGAGTGATATACCTAATAAATTTAGATAAATTTAACTATTTGTTTTTTTAGGAAATTAAAAGATAATATTCTCTCCGTCCATTTATGTCCTAAGTGATATTTACACACTTTTTTAGGTAATTAGTTTTTTTGTTGTAAATTGACAAAATAACCCTTTATTTTGTGTATAGATATAAAAAAGATAAAAAAAAAGTAAGAGTAAAAAGGTAAATTTTATGTATAAAAATAGAAAAAGGACAATAATTTTTAGACAATGTATAAAATCAAAATTATTAAATAAAAGGACAAAATGCCCTTATCTAAGTAAGTATTTTTTTATTATTTTTTCTATTTAACTTAAAAATATTCATTTTTTATTTTAAAAAAGTAATACTAAAATACCTTTAATTTTTACTTAAATTACAAACATACATTACAGATATAATTACTTTGTACCAAATGACAAAAATATCAAAATTCCTTGCACACTTCCACCTACCAATAAAATACTATTATTTTTTAATCTACTAAAAAATTTTAAAAGGTCACTTTGAAATGGAGCGAATGGAGTATTATTCTCTAGGATGAAGTATATTTCTATATTTATTAATTTATCCATTTAAATGTTACTACAACGTTATATTTCTTTATCAATTTTTTTTATATTCTTCGCATAATTTATATTGTCTTAAAGTGTTTTAATTTATAAATTGACAAATTTATTCTTTATGAAAATGTAAAGAGTAAAAGTAGTAAATGAATAAAGAGTAAAAAAAATGAAATTTGTGTTAAAAAATAAATAAGACAATAATGTTTGGACGCCTCAAATAAGAAAATAAATTATTAGTTTGTGGCCGGAAGGAGTACATAGTACTCATTTCGTCTCGGAACAA